TCTCTCTCTCTCTCTCTCTCTCTCTCTCTCTCTCTCTCTCTCTCTCTCTCTCGGAGTTGCTAGTACCACCTCCCTGTCCTGGTTGGGCTGGAGGGCGGCCATCACGACCCACAGGTGACACTAGAGATCCTCCCCCAGTGCTGGATGGGCGAGCCAACTGGGTCCTGTCTGCTAAGGCCTGGGGCAGAGAGAGGCCTCCAGTTTGGGGTTCCTGGGGCTCTCACCACTGTGATTGGAGTGAGATATTGTCTCCTTACCACACAATAAATAAAGGGCTAGCTTAGCCCTGGGGCAATTCTCTTAAAGGACAGCCCATATACACAAGGCCAGGCAACACCTCTGCCTCATAGAGTCCCACACAGCATTTACAGGTGCTTCCTCTCAACGAGCTGAGGGGCCTTTCAGGCACAGATGTCCACTGCCCGAGTCCTTGGTGCTCCCTGTGGTCCGGTCCCCCATTCCTGCTTCAAGCAAAGGCCCCCAGACCTACACCCTTTTGAAAACCCGGATCTTCAGATGCGTTGGAGACTCCTCCGCACGGTCTACCTCTCCAGCAGAGAGCAGGGGCATGGGAGTATTGACCGTGGACCAGACCTGCCATCTTCCCACCACGTGACCTGCTTCTTCTTCCACTGTCCCCTGCATGGCCTCTCACCTACACCTCCCAAGCCACCTTAATAATGCCTTTTGTTTCCAGCTCTTTATACATTCAACAGAAGAGAGAGCTGGGATACAAGAAGAAGGAAAAGGTGAGAGATTTTTTTCAGTTTATCAGAAAGAAACTTAAGACTTGCAAATTGGTCTCCCCAGACCCCCAAACCATTCCAGCCTCAGTATTGATTTTGATTCTAAACAGATTCATGCTCTAATTAGAGGCACATGCATTAAAGTGGAGGAAGCCAGGAGGAGGTCATCGGGAGCCAGCTGGCTCAGGAAGGCCAAGAACCGCTCACCTTTGTACTCTGCCAGGCACACACACTCATAGCCATTAACGAGGTCCCTGCAGGTCGCGGTGTTCAGGCACGGAGCAGAGAGGCACTCGTTGTATTCCTCCTCGCAGTACAGACCGTGGTATCCTGGGGACAGAGAGAAAGGCCTGCCGTCAGAGGAACCCCACTTTGAACCCGCCCTGGACCAGCCTGGTAGGAAGGCACCAGGTACTCCCTGGAGAGTGCCCGGACAGCTGGGGTTGGGGAGCTGGATCTTACAGGGTAAGACTGAACTGTGGATTTGGGGGGAGGCTATCAACAACAAAAGTATTCTTATTGCGCTTTTCTGTGATTCCCAATATGGAAGATGTGATCCCGTTTAGCCACTGGAGGGTATCACAATTTTGTGTCCAGTGGTTCTGATGTGGGGGCGATGGGCACCTCAGTGTGTGGACTAGAGCCTTAGGGGAATGACAAACAGGTTCTTTCAAGGACAAGAATCACATTTTCCTTCCAGATCAATTAGAAAAATGAACTTAACTAAAGAAAAAAAAATTTAAGGAGCGTACACCAATGTGTTTCCTTTGTTTCTCAGGTTCACAGAGAAAATCAGCTCCGAGGGCTTAACTGAAATTCCTGATGAAAAATGGGTTTTGTTATTGTTGATTTAAACATATGACAATGTAAGTTGTAATATTTCAAACTATACTTAATTTTTTTAATTATAAAAAGTATAATAGGAATAAAGAACAAGAATTCAGCAATTTCTTGATCAAGATGGCTTTTCCTTGCCTATGTGCAAACCAGGTGTTTATTCCAGGTGAGCAGGAGACAGGGTTCTTTGGGAGTCACTCACGAGGCCCGTGCTGATTTCAACTTTCAACAACATGTGTTGTTGCCAATTTGCAGGGAATCAGGCCATTTGTCTCCGGCCCTGTCCAAGTAACCAGAAACATGTGTCTTCCAAAATCGCAATTTAGATAAGCAGAAAAAATGACACCTTGCACTAGTGGGAATCAGAACAACAGGTTTCCCCAGCCCCTTCAACACACCCCAGAGCCGACCCCCGAACTCAGAAAGCCCCATTAGAACACGCTCGGGAGTGGAACCGGATGGTTCCTATGCTTATCGCCAAAGTAGGTTAAGCTCATATTTGCATTATTAACGGAGCACTTTTCAAGTGTGTTGCCACTTCGGTTATTTTTGAACTGCTTTCCAAATTTAGGCAGTGATAATGGCCCCTTTGAAGAGACCTTGACCTACCTAAGACAAATATACCGTGGGTTTCAACTGTTCTATCTTACCCTACTTTTTGTAATTTTAGGGAAATACTTCCTATTACTCTTTATCAGATTATTTCAATCATCTAGGTAAAAGATTCTCAACCAGCAGCAATTCTGTCACTCGGAGGTGACATTTGAGAACCTTTGGAGACATCTGTAGCTGGGGTGAGGGGACAGGGCATCTAACAGGTAGGAACAAGGATGCTGCTAAGCATGTGGCAATGCATAGGACCCCCCAAGACCCAGAGCAAAGACTTTGGATCAGAGGACAGCAAACTCTAGCCCACAGGCCAAATCCATCCACCCTGTCTCTGTAAATAAGATTGCACTTGAAACATGGCCACCTGCTTTTAAGTCTAGCTGTGTTTATGTCTCCTGTGGCTGCTTCCTCACTGCAACAGCAGGCTGGGTAGTTGCTCCAGAGACCTGTGGGCTTCAAGGCCTGCATATTTACTATCTGGCCCTTATAGAACACATTTGCTGAGTCCTGATCTCAGGTCATTGGAAGATCTTTCTTCTTATAGGAGTTTTGGGTATAAAACCCTTATCAAATCATGCTTTGCAAATGCTTCCTCCCATTCCACAGGCCACCGTTTCTCTCTGCTGATGGTTTCCTTTGCTGCTCAGAGGCCTTTGGTTTGATGCAGTGGCTCTGGTCTATTTTTGCACCTGTGGCCTGGGATTTCGATATCCAAGAAATTACTGCCAAGACCAATGCTATGAGGCTGCTCCTCTGGGTTTTCTTCTAGGACGTCCACAGTTTCAGGTCTTGCATTAAGTCTTTAATCCATTCCAAGTTTACTTGTGTGTATGGTGTAAGTAATAGCACTGGGTAAGAGGTCCATGAAAAGATACCTGACATCATTAATCATCAGGGAAGCGCAAATCAAAACTACCATGAGATATTACATCATACCTGTTAAGATCACCATTCTAAAACAAATAAAACAAACATCACAAGTATTAATGAGGATGTAAAGAAACTGGAACGCTTGGGCCATGTTGATGGAAATTCCAACCGTGCAGCTGCTATGGAAAACAGTAATGAGATCCCTCCAAAAATAAAGATAAAACACCATATGATCCAGCAATCCTGTTTCTGGGTATTTATCCCAAAGCACTGAAAACAGGGTCTCAAAGATGTATTCGTACTCCATGTTCACTGCAGTGGAAACACCCAGAATGTCCATCAACAGATGAATGAATTTTAAAAAGTGACACATACATACACATACAGAGGAATATTATTCAGGCTTAAAAAAGAGGAAATCTTGTCATAGGCTACAACATGGACAAACCTTCAGCCCACGATGCTAGGTGAAATAAGCTGGCCACAGAAGGACAGGTATTGCTGATCCTACTTACAGGAGGTCAAATTCACAGAAATAAACAGTAGGATGTTGGCTGACAGGGGGCTGGAAGAGGAGGAGACAGGGAGTGGCTGTTGTGTTGCACAAGGGCACACATGATAAACAGCTCTTCAGTGTACACTGAAAAATTCATTAAGAGGGTAGACTTCTTGTTGTTTCTGATAATAATAGATATATGTATGGATAAAGATTTAAGTGTCCTTCATCTCCTTTTCCTGATTACGAAAACTTTTTTAGGGTCAGGACAAACAGCATCGTTTTGATGGTGTTTGGTCTCCCCACAGGTTTTTATCAACCAGGAAGGCTAATACATGGCTACAAAAAGTCTTTACCCTCTGGATTGAGGTGTTATATACACAGACAGAAATCAAAATCAAGTCTCACGAAGTCACCCCTAGTTGTTTCATATTTTGAAAACAGTATCATCATCTTTTTCTACTAGCAACCTGAAAAGCAAATGAGGAAGTTATTTTACAGAGATAATTGAGCTGACTCTGTTTTTCTTCCTTGGGGGAAACACAGATAAAGGTTTCATATTCTAAAACTGTTTCTTCAGAGATGGTAACATTTAAATGTCTTTATGGAAATGTCAAGACACCCTTTGCACTTGATGCCAAAGAGCCTGAATCAGACTGAATAAAAAGGCATTCCTTCCAAAAGAGAAGGGTTCTGGGAAAACGAGGCAGCCTCCTCCTGCTGATAATCAATTCAGGCAAACAAAGTAGCTCAGGGCGGTATGCCCAGGACATGAAAAATAAGCTGGTCCAAAGTGTTTCTTAAAAATCAAATGAGAGACCAGAAGGGCGGGATCAGAGTGGCTCTCCAGGGTGCTGCTCTTCAGCACCAATACTCTGTCTCCATATGATGTGCTCCTGAATATTCAGCTCCAACAACTGCTTTTGATTTGAGAGAACACAGCACCTGGGCGAGGGAGTGAGAGCGGCCATGTTTACACTAAGTGGATGGCTTCATCGACACAGAGAAGTAGAACCAGGGCAACACAGGATTAGTCGAGGACCAGCTGAACTTTGGCCGTGTCCACTGGGGGCCTTGCTGGGACACCAGGTAGCACAGGCAGCTTTTGGAAATATGGGTGTGAGTGGCATAGAAAGAGCACTTTGGGACTAGCTGCCTGGAAGGTGTGTTGAAGTTTTCCCAAGAAGCGAATGGAAAGGGAAGAAAGAAGGCACCAAGGTCAGATCTCAGAGATGTGAGGTGGACAATAAAAACCCAGATCAGCACGCTGGGCAAGGACCAGGTGGAGGAGAAAAGAGCGCATGGCACACAGTGTGGAGGGCAGGGAGGGGAGGAAGTCAGGGGGATGGTTAGAAGGGACACGGGACCTTGCACGAATGACAACTGGATTCGAGGAGCAGGAGGTCATTGGAGTCCCTCAAAACCACAGATCTTAACAGGGAAGAGGATGTCGGTTAGAGGATGTTTTGGAGGCTAGAGGTGAGAAGAGTTCTTATCACAAGGGTTGGAACTTTCTACTAGAATTCAGTGGGTGGAGACCAGAGATACTTAACACCTTGCAATGTCTAGGATTCTCCTGCACAACAAAGAAAGGTCTGGCATCCTTCAAACTTTGGACTCTCCCTACTCGAGGTTCATGTAATTGAAAACTCTGTTGATACTGTCCTGGACTAGAAGCTCACTGCTGATCCCAGGTTAGAGTTAGACTGGTTTCTCCTGAAATGTCTCCTGGATAACCAAGAGACAACTTATACCAACAGTTGCTCACCATTTTGGAAAATGACCTCACTGGTAGAATTTAAGTCACCAAGAAAGAACAAACACCTATAACAGTATAAGATGAAAACAAAAATATTGCATTCTTAGAGAGTTTTCTGACAAATCTATGCAAAAACACTCCCACCCCAGTTACTCATCACAGCTGAGTGATCTCCATCTTTATCTCCATCTTAGCACTTGGAACTGGATGAAATCATATTTCTCTACTTGGTTACTGTTTCTCTTCCCCACTATGATATAAATTTGAAGGTCAAGGCCACAGCTGCAGTGTTCACAGCTGTACCACAGTTATCTGGTACAGAAAAACTATACACATCATAGTTCAATCAGTACCCAAAACGCTACCAGCAGCACTCACTTAAGATGTGCCTGTGATGGCTGGGGCTTCCAGGTGCCCCAGGCACAGAGCTAAATGGCAGGGCCTCCCACCTTCAAGGAGCAGCAACATTAGTGCCACCTGCTGGGGGTCAGGCCCTTTATGTGTGTTGACTTGTTTAATTGTTAATCCTTATGCAAATCCAAAGGCCTGGGCAGGACTGGTCCCAGTTCCAGGGGGAATTAAATAAGAAAGGCAGAGTAAAGAAATGGGCCAAGGCCACCCAGTCAAACCTCCGTGCTCCTCCTGCTTCCCCATGTTGTCCCCAAGATGCATGCTAGTGTTACTTTGCTGGGGGGACATGGTAGGAAGGGGGGGGGGTGCCATAACAAGGTACCACAGACCAGTTCTATTAAACAACAG